GGCAGCAGCAGCAGCTGCTGCTGCTGCTGCTGCCTCATCAGCAGCAAGCTCAGCAGCAGCAAACCGAGCAGCAGCAGGGGGGGGCCCCCCTGTATAAAACCCTAAACCCCCATCAAGAGTAGTAGGGGCCCCCTCAGCACTGACATCCCCCGCATGAGTTTCTGGTTCTGCTGCTGCTGCTGCTGCTGCTGCTGCTGCTGCTGCTTCTGCTGCTGCTGCTGCTGCTGCTGCTGAAAACAAACGAGATACTGCAAGCTGCAGCAAATAAAAAAAACAAAAAAGAGAAAATGGATGCCTCATGTGCAATGGCTACGAGCGGCTGCTGCCGCTAGAGGAGAATTAGGGTTTAGGGTTTAGGGTTTAGGGTTTGTTAGGGTTTAGGGTTTCGGGTTTAGATATTCTATGCATATGATTCATTAGGGTTTAGGGTTTAGGGTTTATGTATTTAAATCATATACTAAACAAAAACCAACAACAAACAAACAAACAAACAAACCCAGAGCACCCTAAACCCTAAACCCTAAACCCTAAACCCTAAACCCTAAACCCCCGAGGCTCCTCTCGCTCGGGAGGCGGTCGCTCATGAAGTCCCCCTTTCAACAAACCCTAAACCCTAAACCCTAAACCCTAAACCCTAAACCCTAAACCCTCAAACTTAAACACTGTTTTATCTTCTATTTCTAATTCAATGTTTTTCGCTCGAGGGTTTAGGGTTTAGGGTTTAGGGAGCCGAGCAAGGGACAGGCTCCACGGGGCCACAGCACTGCAGCGGGGTTTAGGGTTTAGGGTTTAGGGTTTAGGGTTTAGGGTTTAAGCAACACACCTTTTATTCTATACAATTCAAAGTGCAGCGTTTCAGCCCCTAACTGTCTCGCTAACCCCAGCCGTACACTGAAAACTAGGGTTTAGGGTTTAGGGTTTAGGGTTTAGGGTTTAGGGTTTAGGGTTTAGGGTTTACAGTCTAGGGTTTTAAAGGTACCTTCTATTCTTCCTATCCCTAGTGGCGTGCACGAACGTATATGCAGGATTAGGGTTTAGGGTTTAGAGGTTAGGGTTTGGGGTTTAGGGTTTAGGGTTTAGTGTTTAGGGTTTAGGGTTTAGGGTTTGGGGGTTTGCAGCAACTGTGTGTACATTAAACACAGCAACTAGTGGTTGCCGCTCTTGAACCCCAAACCCTAAACCCTAAACCCTAAACCCTAAACCCTAAACCCTTCGTTTTCTAGCTTCGCTGCCAGCCGAGCATAGAGCTCCTTAAAGGATCCAAATACGAGGAGAGATGTGTTTTTAGGGTTTAGGGTTTAGGGT